ATGGCGGAAAGGCAAAAAGCTGTACTTACGAAAGAAAGAGAAAGACAGGAGGAGTTGGCTCGACTAAGGGCTCAAAGACAACAACGAGAGAGGGAAGAAAAAGAGCGCAAAAAACTGGAGAAATTAGAAAAGGAGCGTTTGATGAAAGAAGAACGAGATCGCTTAGAAAGGCAGAGAATAACTGAAGAAGGAGAAGAAGCTGTGAAACAGATGGCTACTTTAGTAGAGGCGGGCCCTTCTTCTGCGATAAACACCGGATTTCGTATCCATGCTCCTGAAGAACATGTGACAGGTGAGAAATTTATGCCAATGAGGCGCAAATAAGCGTATAAGCTGCAATAGATCCTCTTCTAAATGTGTTGATCGTAGGCGAAGATCGTTCCGATGATGGTAGCTACCGTAACGATAACGATAATACTAAGATTGTATGGGCCGCACTGATGGCTATAAATAGCGGGTAAGCTTTTTTTTAATAAGCGATAGATGATTCAAGACATATATTCATGGAACTGAAACTGCTTTTAAGTCAGTGTGTTCTAATGTGCAGCAGTCCAATATCTCTTAAAAATATTTAACCGATTTTGCCTACCATATGCTATAAACATTTGATGAAAGGATTCAAGTTTGTAGAAATACATTTAAGTATATTAAGCAACTGCAGCGCGGCAAAGGTAGGCATATCAAATAGGGGATATACATGGTAGATTCAGTAACGTGATCTTTTATGCTTTTTTGGCACTGTATCAAAAAATTAAGAGAATAACACAAGAAGCATTGAGTACACTGATGGCAGAATTGACTACAATTGAGACCGATTACTCGCGTAGAATAAATTCGAACACCTCGAGTACCTAATATTCGATAGAGCGTTTGAAAAAAACCTTTATCTGATTTTTCGAGTTGGATATCGAAAAGATGCATTTATTAGATTATTAGGATATATCCCGTTATTCGATTATTGGAAACATCGACATTCGAAGATCCGTGAGCAGTTTTAAAACAGATGTTCGAATAATTTTCAATCGTTTGAATTTCTGCGAAATAGTTGAATGTTTGCTCGTTTAATATCTGCGAAATCATCAAATATAATTAAGATCGAATATCTATGTTCAAACGAAATATTTGAATAATTGATTGTTTGCACATTGGGAAAACCCACATATCCCATTACTCGATGGTTCGAGTATTCGGACGTGCTTAATCACGCATTGCTTCGAATAGTCAGACGATCAAGATCCTATTACTCGAACATTTGGGTTCGAATGAAAAGCGATTCAAGTATTGATCATTCGCTCGAATACTTTTATTATGACGAATGAATTTTTTAACTATAGCTTGACTTTGGCATGCAATGAACATCTTTTCATAAGAAAATGTTAGCACTAAGTATCAACTGGAAAACAAGACT